TGGACTCCGTGACATTCTTAAATATTACACTGCTATCAGTGTGAGAATCTATGCGGAGAGGCGTGCCTACTCTACACGCCGCAGTCACTGGAGCCTGCGACTGGGTGACTAGTTGCTTAGATGCGCTAGCCACGTCTGAAGAGGCTTCGGGCGGAGAAGCCGGAGAACCCAATGCAGTAGGCTCTGCAAGCGTTGTGCTTACGCCACCTTCTGTATACTCCGTTACTACCACCGTTTGCGAGCTTAAAGCATTCTTTGTTTTGCTCTGCCTACGTTTCGCTGATGAGGACGTCTGCAGTACTTCGTCATTAGCAGTGAAATCATGTACTCCCTCCAACTGTTTATCGCCCACTAGCTTACAATCTGTTGTTGGAAAGGGTGTTAGTTCGACGCAGTCTGTTTTTGTGCTAATATCCGCCATTTTCACCTGGCCGGAGAGTGTCAGACGCTCTATTAAACCTACAACTTTTCCATTCAAAATGGTTCACAGCAGAGATGACACGCTTTCCGTGTTTGCCAGTTGAAAAACAAGCGAAACAAAGCAATCCTTTGTAGTTATACAACGCTGAACTTAAGGCTTAAAGCACTCGTCATAATTATAAAGTAACCTCTCATTGCTTGCCAAGAGAGCATACTGATCTGCAAATAAACCGGTGCATACCTCATGGAACCATCTATCGCAAAGATCGTATTGCACACCACTCGACAAGTAGGTTACAAGTATAGAGCATCTTTGTAAGTCGCATAAGGAGACCGAATCAGTTAATTTAAGGCCCGAAGGCACACCCAAAACATTTTAACTATCTTGTCAGTAAAAGAAGAAAAGGTAAGGAAGGGCAGAACGAAAAACTGAGGACCGACTTGCGTAGTACTGCAATGCAGTCAAAGAGAGCAAAGTCGGATAATACCACAAGCGATAACGCAAGCAAAAATTCGAATCCAACGTGGGTACCCTATATGATGCACCTTTTGACAGGAGACTATCCACTCAAACATTGGGATTAGATGAAGGTTAGCAAGCTATGTAGGTATCGTTTTCGTGCAGGTGAAAGATTCAGCTTATGTATGAACTAGCAAGTCAAGTGACGGATAAAAGAGCTGAGCAACACGAAAATTTGGCAGGGCAAAAATTAGAGAAAAAGGTTGAATGATGAATCGCGACAAGCACGCCATCAAAATCCATGACAAAACAATGGTTGTCGCAAGACAAAATCACCTGCTACAGGCGAAGAAGGGAACCAGTGGAAATAATGTTCCTTCGATGGAACAGTAGCCCTAAGTGAATGAGGGGGAAATTCCCCAGATAAATCCAGAAGGAAGAAGAGTAACCCTGCAGAGGGATTCTGTGAGTCAGAGATTCCGATATATCGGGCACTTTCAAGCCCGTGGAAATATCAAGAAAACACCAAGTTCAGTATCTGTTCACAGTTAACCGAACACTTTCAACCCAAATGTTCAAGAGAAAATGCTCAAACAGTGATACACTACAAGCACCATCGAAATGGAAAGCCTTCCTCCAAGATTGGCAGGGATCGCCTCCTGCGCTGACCCTTGGTGGGGCTCTGATAGAAGTCCTTCAAAAATTCAACTACCTGGGAAGTTGTGTCAGCGCCCTTGGGATCGAAGAGGAGGTCAAAAACCGTATAGCAAAAACTCGAAGTGCTTTTGCTAATCTTCGCCACCTATGGCGCCGACGCGACATCACTCTCGCCCTGAAGGGCGGAGTGTACAATGCAGCGGTACGTTCGACGCTACTGTACGGTTGCGAAACCTGGCCCGTAAGATCAGCGGACATAAAGAGGCTAGTTAAGTTCCACCACCGGTGCCTTCGCATTTTGGCTCAAATCTGGTGGGAACACCGCGTGAGTAACGAGCGTGTTCGACGCCTTGTTTACGGCACAGGAAAAGGAACTGAACCGCTCAGCACTGTCATTTCACGCAACAGGCTCTGATGGCTCGGCCACGTGTTACGCATGACAGTCCACCGGCTTCCACGACATGCGTCGTTTGCTCGCCGGGGATGTGGATGGAAGAAGAGGAGGGGTGGCCGAGCGATGACTTGGTCGAGAGGAATGAAGGCCCTCACTTCGGAGTTGGCAGCGGTTGGAGCGTCACGGCTCCCTGGTTGTGTTTCAAAAGATGATGAACACGTTTGGTTGGATACATTTCTTGACAGGGCAAGGAGCCGACCACAGTGGCGTTCCTGCTGTGTGTTTCTTTGTCCCTCCCCGTCCCTTTTAGCCTCCCCTCCATCTACGATCTCATTTCGTAGCGTAGTAGTAGCCGGCTGGTAGCTTACCGGAACCATGCCTGTCAGTTGCTGGTAGCTCAGCTGGCATGCAACTGTTGTATTTATTTTCCTTTTCCTTTATGTATTGCGGCACAGTAGCTGAGGTATTTCCCACCTCTAGCTGACGTGTATAATGAGTGAATGCATGAACACGACAAACACGCCGTGATAACTGAAGGTAACTTAGACGGAAGTGCACCGCGTATTCACTCTGTCTTGATGATAGCGATCTAATGACTGATGGAACAGAGTAAACTTTCCTCATTACCTCGTTAGAATAAGCTTGCAAGCCACGTTTGAAGGCCAAAATATCAAGCCGCAGTGGTTTACCTAGTGCACATAGTGCTACGGTCACTAGAAACAACAAAGCCACATGTGTGTGCTTCCTTGACTACACTAAAGCCTTCGGTTGTTTTAACCGTGAAAGCTTGTTGTAAGACCACCTAGTTTCTGGAATTCAACCATCCATAGCCTCCTTGCTACAGGATTATATTTCCAAACGTACTCAAACAACCAGGTTCAACAACAGCAGTTTCGCGCCCCTTACCACTGTTTCCGGTGTCCTTCAAGGAGCCATTTATCGCCATGCTTATTACCTACCTACGTTGGCTCGACCCCTGTCCCTGAAGAAGCCATAGTGCTAAAATAACCCGATGACATACTAATTGGCGCGAATCATCTAACTTCAGCCTCTTCAGCTATGCTACCATGTTGTTTGGATAAAATCGTGCGTTGGTCAAACTCCCGCGGCTTAACACTGAATACTTCCAGGTGGATTAATGTACTGTTTTAACTGCAGAAGGCAGATCGTTACAAAAAACTCGTCGCTGACTGTCCCCAAGTTCACATCAGTGCTGAAAGCCTGAGCTTCCTGACGCCAGTGAACTATCTGGGAATCACACTTAGCCAGGATGTATGGTGGTCAATTCACGCGAATAAACTACTCACCACTACTGTCCTTTCATGTCTCACGTTTTCGTTCGTCCACAATCGCCCACCAGTGGATTCTGCGATTCATCAGTCCATGTGTTCTACCACACTGGACCTACTCTTATTCCGTGATCTTTCCGGGCCTAATGGGTAAGCATTACAAACTACTCCATAGGTTGCTGAAACATATATCACGATGAAGTGGTTTTTTTTAACTAATCTTAGTTCAACACGGTGTATTTGTTCATTTAACTCATGCGCACAAGTTACTTGGAAAATACTCAATCAGCCATTCTTTACCTAGCGTTTTATTCAACTGCAAATCTAGTTTATAAACACGATGACACTACAGAGCCATACATTCCTGCACGCGCGCCTACGGTTCATCTGTCATATGTTACCTAGCTAGATTTCTGCGCGATCCGATTATGATTATTTAGGTACTAAACAACAAATATGGTTAGTGATTCATTACCACACTTGAATTATATTGTTGTAGCCGCCATTTGTTTACTTTTTGTATGTATTATATGGTTTTTCTTTAGTGTTTTGATCACGTGTGTTACAGCTGAAAATTCACCCTTCAGGTGTGCATAAAAGCGAATTCTTGACTTGACTTGATTTGACAACTGACGATTACTTTTTTGCGCAAGGGAACTTCCAGGATGAAGTGCCATATCCCCTATTCCTGTTCCTGAGCCTCTAACTTGCTTGAGGTCTAAAGTTCCGAGACACAATGGACAAGGTTCAATTTTAGGTCCCATTTTGTTTAGAAATATTTATCCGGGCTTTGTTTACATTTCTGGCGTTCACTCTAAGCACACTCTAAGCGACCAAACTGGGTGCCGTTGGTCCGTCTCGCCTCCCGGCCTGGAGTCCACGTGACTCGCCTTGTGCTTGGCTCGAGACTTTACAGGACATGGCTCGCAGTAGACACCAGTGGCGCGTCTGCTGCCGTCTCCTAATCGGATTGCATGTTTAAAGTGTGTTTGGTGCTGAGTTATCTGCGTTGTAATGGCTGATTATGACGCGTGGCAGTGAAAGCCGCAAAGAAGCTCTCTCGCCAAAGCCGCCTTATCTTTGCACGATAGCCAGCTTTTTGTGATGGTATGTTGTCTACGCAAGATGTACGCGCCTTGACCCTGAATGTTTGTTTAAGGCATTAAGGTTTTCAAGTAAGTCCCCCTTCTCTCCCTCTTATTATTCTTTAGTTCATAGGTCGTTATAGTTGTATAGCAGCGAAGCATCAGTTCAAATGGCTGATGTACTGCTGTTGATGAGGATGCTGATGATGACTCTAAGCACAATGTGGGAAACAGTGCGTGCAACAGTCGGAGGTGATTGGCTAAGCGGAAAACGTATTTTGCTTCATCTGACTGAAGCGGTATTTGAGGCAACCGTACTTCACCATAGTGTAAAAGTTTGTATTACGGATGAGGTGTATTCTGGTTGAGTTCCACTCTAACTGGTCGTGTAAGTTTGTGTTTGATCGCAATCGCCTCAGATTCAGGTCCATTTACGCTTATAACAGTTAGAGTTGTGGTATCGATGGATCTTACCTTGTGGCAGTAGTGCATGGTAGTTTTCCTTGCTGCAACAATCTATAACCTCCTAGATACTACACCAATTAGTTTAGGAACAAGTAGCATTTCAGGTAGATTAATAAACCCGGTTATTCCCCAATGCATGTTGTTTTATTGAGGTATCTCAAAGCAATTGTGCGAGAAAATACTTGCAACATTCATGTTTTCGCTTCCGCTGTCTGCGTAAGTACACTCACCAAATCAACATCACCTTGCCCGATATCCTTCGTTCCACCGGCTGTGAAGGTTGTCGCAAAACTTGGTTTTTCACCTGGTGCTCTACGAGCAGTACTGATGTATTCCAATCCGGTAATCGCTGTGCCCAGGGTGTGCCAGAACACCATTCCTCGAACCGCATCCATATGCACCACATCCTTTAACAGCTCTGCTTGACGTTCCTGAAATGGTCACAGAGAATGGCGTCCGTCTTTTAACATTATTACTTCTCTGTGTAATATAATGTTATAGACAAGGAAGCAGATTTTAAAATCATCTGAATCGTTAATGACAATCTTCATTTTTGCACTTGTTTTCTGATGAATGCGTGCATCGGATATTTAAACAAAGAAATAGATAAATATCGAAACATTATTGTACAATTTAGACATGGGGCTACCGAAAAACCATGAGTAATACGAATAAAAAGAGTACAAATACAAAGAAAATGGAACAAATTGTTTGGCGCATTTTTCAAAAGCAGATTTTTCTTTTTTGTCAACTCTGATTGTTGTAGCTCTAATCTCATTGTTCAAAATATGTAAATGTACAGCACATCCTTTGGTTCCAGGTTCGAGCCATTGACAGTCATCATCTCTGGGCGTCTAACCAGGAACACGTACGGGGCTGACGATGGCGAGATAGGAGGTCAGCATTTCCATGTTTTTCCGCCAAGTTGTCTAATGACCTCCACGAGTTCCCTTCCAACTCAATTCTGTGCGAGCAACTAGGGCGTGGCGTGGTAAACGCTCACATAACATGCGTAGCACTTGGCCTAGCCACCTTATTTGGCGCACTGCAATAAAACGATTAATTGTAAGGCTTATGTCTCCCAAGACACGACGCCAGATTTTATTGTTGCGAACCCAGTGCTGCCTCCACACACGAGCTAGCTTCTGCAAACATGTATTGTCGAAGCCAGAAACTCGGCACAAGTCATTCAAGCAAATCGGCCAGGACTCACTACCGTACAACAGGACCTCGCGGACACGAGCATTGTAGATCATCCCATTTAAGGAAAGGGATATGTCCCGACGGCGCCACATATGACATAGAGTGGGAAATGCCGACCAGGCTTTGGCGATGCAAAGAGACACCCCCTTCCCAATAGTACCATCAGCAGCAATACAACTTCCAAGGTGGACAAAGTTGTTCACAAGCCGTAACTGTGTTCCTTCAATGGGAAGTGAGGGGGCAGATCACTTCCAGGGGGAAAAGCACATAACCTACTTAAACGCTTCAATCGCCAGATCATTCAAAATGAACTGTACAATCTGTGAATCGTCAGCGAGCCGAGTCATCTTGTCATCATAATCTAAATCGGCCACGCTATAGCCAGGAAGAAATCTAACACCACAATTTTGGGAGCCTTCCAGAGATCTTAACAGGACGTCCTGAATCGCAAAGTTGAACAGGAATTGGGACAAACGCCACCTCTGTCCCACTCGACTGGTGATAACTAGGAGGGGGGAAAGTTTGCCATAGACCATCACTCTACCTGACACTTGGAAGTAAAGCGCCCGAATAATGGAAGTGTATTTTTCGGGGATCCCATTTGTTAGCAAACAGTGCCAGAAAGTAGATCGATCGACCGAGTCAAATGCAGCTCGAATATCCAAGAAGACGACAATGGTTGGACTGAGGTAAAGGTGGTGCTGTTCAAGGATTCGGCGTGGCTTAAAGATTTGGTCCACACACCCTCGACCGGGCTGAAACCAGCTAATTCTTCGCGGTAAAGGAACTGGCGGATCGGTGATAGTCTACGGAACAGAATGCTTGAAAACTTGTAGCGCCACCTTGTTAATCGACTTTATTAACTTTGCACTGAATGGCTGGCTAATAGCTGAGCTTTAAAGCGCTGTTTGAAGCCTTCCAAAGAATGAAGGAACTCTTGAACTTTTCTTCTATTGTCAATGATATAGCTGGAGTGTCACAAGTTTGAAAGGAAAGGCACGCCAACAGCATGGCTAGAGAGGTCTGATATCGGAGAGATGGTATGTCAGAAGTACATCTTACCGTGCATTTTGGAAGAGCTGCAACACATAATATTTGAACGTCTCACTTAGGTGATCTAACTATGAAGCGGAATGCTTAACATATTCACGACATATGGTTGACTTTTGTTGCTGGCCCATCAAACATCCCCGCAAAACGCGCCAGAAACTCCGGCATAATGGCTGTGGAAAGCGGCGTCCAATTCCTTCCCACAAAGTAGCAGCTTTCAGCCACTCCGAGACATAGCACAAATGCGAACCTGTTGACAATGTTCCTTTACAAATTACCACCCCGTCTTGGTAGCTATTTTCCCTAACTTAATGACCCATAGCATCGGCTGTGATTTGCCCTTTGTTGGTCGTAAAAGAGCCTTCAGAGGACCACTTGCCTTTCTTTCTCTTCGCCTTACTTGGGAGTCGGTCGGGTCACGTGATTTTGTGTGCGTCGATAGCCGGGCGGCTTTCGCGTCTAAGTCACTAGCGCACATCTACCGTAACCCCCTCTCGTGTGCCTCCGTTCCGAGGGATCAGCGTCTACCGGAATACGTGCGGCTAGGAACGTTCTTACGCTCGCTCAATTTCCGTCTCACCAGCGCGTACCCCGGGCTAAGCTAACGCCATCAGGTCAGCGCAAATCCGTTTGATTGGCCAGTGTTTCAATCGGTTAACGTAGGCGGGCTCCAACCGTGACGGTGACAATCATAACATTGGCGTCCCTCAATCATAACAAATTTGATTTACCGAAGTAGCATGCAATCTTTTGTTAACTCTTGTTTTCTATTTCTGTGTGGAGACGGTGTGCCAATTACCACACGTTGGATGCGATGGATCAAGTCCCCATGAGGGAAATTTCGTGTACGGTTACTTATTCCTGAAGTTCATCATCCTGCATTTTGCACCTGTATTGCAGGTACTCGTAGTTAGCATCGTATCACAATCTGCCTTTTTAACCCTGCTATAGAGGTAATTGTCAAATATTTAGCGTCGATAATTAACTACAACGGACTGACTTCGTTTTTCCAAACATTTGGCTCTTTGTTTACTCAGGGGCTCCTGCTCATTACCAAGACGTTATTCTAACCGTCAGACGATAAAATGCACGTAGAGAACAGTTTAATGGTACCTACTTAACACACGTAATTACGCATTTGGAGATAGAGGTATAAGAATTAATTAGAAATTATGATGCTTCATCTTTGACTCATCTGGTATGTCATCCAAACGCGTTTATCTAATTCATCATGCTCACTCTCAGTCAGCAGGTTTAGGCTAGTCTGGAAAGTACAAGACGCCGGAGTTTCAATCTTCTGGGTCTCGTCAGTGGTGCGCCTCCCAGCGGACCGCTGCCGGGTTCCGCCATCATGAATTCCGGATGACAGCAGCCAGTGCCAATTCGTCATGGGTGACAGCCGCGGACCTGCATGATTGACAGTTGACCATGTTATGATCGGACTCAGCTTCGCTCACTACTCAGCAGTAATATAAAAAGCTGTCCGTATGGCTTTCAAGTTCATTTGCCGTGCCATGGCTCCATGCGGAAAGTCCTCGTTCGTGAGGCAAGCCGCTGTCCTCTGCATAATTCGTTAGTGGCATGGCAGTGGAAAATGAACCGGGCTATAGCATGTTCAACTGTCAAGCACGGTGGTCCGCGGCTGTCACCATGGCGAAGTGGCACTAGCTGCAGGCATCCGGAAGTCATGGGGGCGGAACCCAGCAGGGGTTCGCTGGAAGGTGCACCATGTCGAGACCCAGAAGGTTCTAACGTCGCTGTCTTGTGCTTTTCCAGACTAGCCTAAACCTGCTGACTGGGAGTGAGCTGATCAGCTAGCTGAATTACACCGAAATCCGCACTACTCATTAGTGAACGGTTTTAGCAACCTACATGCTCCTCGCCTCCTGTTGATGTTGCAACGCATCAAACGGAGCTTATCCAAATACACATAGACGTATCAGCGAAGAGGACAGGCTGTTACCTGTCGTTCTCACTGGGTTGTTGCTTCCATAACGCGGCCGCTTTTTACGCTGAACACAATGTGTCAAATGCAAAGGGAGATCGATTGTTTGTCAGAGAACTGCCACCCTGTTTTATCATTGATTGCTGGTTAAGCTGGTCATGACGTATCGGAAATTACATTTCGGTGGTTACCCCACGTTTAGGCCGCTGGGCCATATACGCACACGGAACAGCCCCTGAGGACACCGGGACAAGCTCGTAGAACTGGAAACGTAGCGGGTCTTTCACCAGGTCTGCTTCGAACAGACAGGAGGAGTATATGGGACAACCTACCGCCGCACGTAGTCCATGCAATGTCGGTGTCGGAATTAAAGAAATTCCTGAAGAACCACTTTATAGACATGTGATATCGCGACTAGTTCTAACCTAATAGGTCCTCGTACCCGAGGGATTTTAGATGCAGCTACAGAAAGATATCTCTGCTTGCTGCTTCATTCAGTATATGGTAAGACCGATATCACATCGCGACGAGACTGGACCATAACGTGATGCGATGGTTTGTGTGCCTCAGTGATCCATTGAGCTGCGTAGGGTGCTGCTTTTTGCACCTTCAGAGCCACTCATACCAGATTGGTCAATGTTTAGAGACCAGAAAAACAGTCTCCTGGCCCTCCAGGTTACGGGTTGGCGTGTGGGTGGCTCCTTACGCCATAAAACGTGCTCTCTGTAGTTCAGTTCCAAAATCCCCGCTGCCTTGCGGTAAGGTTTTTGAACCAAAGTCTTTGGTTGAGGAACCTGATCCTTCTCCTGTATAGGCTTGGGCAACCTGACAGTATTCTGCCTAGGCAATACAATAAACGTTTGTCCTAACAATTGCTTGATGCGCTGGCCATTGCAAAGGAAAATAAATGGCGCTGAGTCTGCTTCATCAAGAGAAAGTAGGGTTTCCTCGAAACTGAAGCTGCATCGACCATATCTTCAGCTTGCGTCAATCGTTGGAGTACCGCCGTGTTTATTGACGGCCCACTGTTGTCATGTTTCTTGTCATAAAAGGTGCCTTCGACTCAGTCGATCGATAAGCCCTTTGGCACTGTCTGCTAAGGAAATGAGTGCCTGATAAATACGTGAATGTTATCAAAGAGCTGTACGCGCATAGTTCGGGCAGAGAGACGGTTTAGGGCAAAGTTTCGCCTCCCTTAAGTATCACCAGCGGTGTGAGACAAGTTTGCTCGCT